AGAGGGGGACAGTGCATGTGTGTGTGTGTGTGTGTGTGTGTGTGTGTGTGTGTGTGTGTGTGTGTGTGTGTGTGTGTGTGTGTGTGTAGGGTGAGTTGACCAAGCTGAAGACATTTAAAAACAAAAAAAAAATGTAAATTATAAAACACAAAATACTTTAAAAGCAATTTGAGAAGAAAAAACCACAACAGCTATGCTTTTCTTACAAACCGGAAGTGAGTGCCATTTATTGACCCTTTGCAGCTACGTCACTAAATCATTTGAGGCGCCATGATGGAGGTCGGAAGTGAGGGACGGGAGTATTGAACAGAGCGACTGAAATTGTTTTTCCAAGTTGTTTTTGCCAGTTTATTCATGGCTTTCTCTTGTTCTAGTCGAGCTAATTTGTCTGTAAACATAACAGAGACGGCGGGATTTACAAAAGTTGGAAACCGCTAGCTTAGAAACTGAGTGACAAACCAGAACAAAACAGAAAATGAAAAGTAATGAAATATGTTTTTATAGAGCGTCTAAGAGAATAAATTGATTTTTACTTTAAAGGTCACACCGTTACCAACAGCCTGATTCTTGTTTTGCTAACCGACTTGCAATAGCATTCTGAAGCACAATGCTCATCTTCAGGGTTTGCATTGCCTTGACAAATCCCAGAGTCACTGATTTCAGCCCTTTAAGCTCATACACTGTGTACACAAGCAATGACAAGCAAAACTGTGCAGATTCACTTCTGGCACACAGTTCAAGAGCTGCTAGCAAAATATGTACAAGTGTGCAGAGCTATGATGTGTACACATGCAAAGGTGGGAAGAGATCCCAAAAACTTTACTCAGTACTTAATAAAATGACTCAAGTAAATGTAACAGAGTAAATGTAACTAGTTACTACCCAACTCTGGATATGGGTAGCTACCAAGCTCCTGGCATCTGGTCAGGTGGATCAAAATGTCAGAAACACATCAGTTCTAACATGTTTTTACCACTTATACATAGTTCCTATGTGACGTCACACGTCCGTGAACTTTGCAACTGACAGCCATCTTAGCAGGCAGTTACTATGACAACAATATACAAGCCACAAAGTTAAAACTAGCTCTAGCTTGGTTCCTATCTAACTTATAAACAATTAAAATACATGACAGCTACTTAAGTACTCTACCCACCTACTAAGATAAATACCACTGATATTTACTGTAGTACTTACTCCCGAGCTAGCTAAATTAGCTAAGCTATTCTAGTATTTATCTACTAGCAAAGACGGACATGTAGCCAACGTGTATGTTACTTCGTACTTACTCTGCCAGTCACCGGAACCTTGTTATTCACACCAAGTGTACGTATGTCCTTTACAAAACCGTTGAAATGTTGATTGTATGGATTTCAGGCCGCGAAGCTCCTCCGTGGTGTTCATGGTGTCCTACAAGCCTTTAGTCCGCTATGCATTGCGCATGCGCTTGTGTGAGCGGTGGACTTCCGCGTTATGTGCTGTGTTGTAAACAACAAGTCTGGATCCGGAGGCGGTTTCCGGTTAGCACGTAGCATGTGGTACAGACCTCCAGCCCCATCTATTATGATAACACTAAAAGTAACAGGGTTAGCATGCATTGCACATCGTGGTCACAACAAAACCAATGTTATAATGGTGTAATAGCGACTTAAGTGAAACTATTCAAACACTTATCATTAATACAGAAAGAAAAAACACACATTTGAACAATATACATTTAGAAGGAGTTACCATGTAGAAGAAAGTGAGGCAGAGCTGGAGGACCAAACCCGCAATGATAGACACAGAAACAGTCGGGTATGAACAAACAAATGCATTTAAAAAATACATTAAAATTCAAATACACTTTATTGATCTCAAGGGGAAATTAAATATTTCACATTTTGGGTAATTACACAAATAGAAATATAAACCAAGTTACGTTTGCCTAGTAATGTGCGGCTGGCTTCCAGTTCAGACTTGTGGGGACTTTGTATTGATAATAAAAACCCACCAGTTGAGATCAGTATTAATTCATTAGTAAGGAGTGAGTCAACATGAGAGTCACCAGACAGCAGAGGGGAAGAGAGGTTGCACAGCCACCACATGCCACAGACAAACTGACGATACTTCTCCTGGGCTCCATGCCGGAGACCTGGCTGTAATTACACCACTCACACAAACACACATTCATGCATGCACACACACTGTTACAGGACTGACAGTGAGCGATTCCTAATACCCTGAAATCTGGTTCACTCTCTTTCTACTGTTACGGGTTTATTTTCAACAAGCATTAGCTTTACTAGACATCCACAGCACTCTTAGAATAATATTTACAGGAAATGGTGTAGAAGAAAACTGGAATGTCCTTACTCCAGAGAACAGTCTATCAGCAGTGTCAAACTCATTTTCATTTGGGGCCGAATCTAGATCATGAATGCTCTTAAAGGGCCGGTTGTGTTAGAGTGTATTGATAAAACCTTTTAAGGTATTAATGAATTCTTAAAATTAAACAATATTGAACATCTTTTCAGTCCCTCCAGGATTTCGCAATTGTTACCTATTACCTACAAAAAACAACATTTTACATCAATAGTTGCATTTTCATTGACTATATATTTGCACAATTTGACGTTTCAATTGTAAATATGATTAATGGAAACACACCAATTTTGAAAAAACTCTTGATTTTTTAATAAGTTTTGACTCTAGGATGAAATGGGTTTTTTTGGCTGTATTGAAATTGGTTTATTTTGCAAAACTGCAATTGAAACATTTTTTTGCATCACGAGTCACATGATCAACAACAGGATGTTGTCACTGGTGCAAACCACGAAGAAGAACAACAGGAAGTAGTTAGAGATTGATGGCGTGGCAAGTTTTTTAATAACTTACAGCCTGAAAAAATGTATTTACATGTGATTTTTAATTCAGTTTCTTATTTTACAGTAACATCACAGTTTCAAATTTGTGTTTTCTCAACATTAGTGGAATATTGTCAAAGTTTTGCACACATTTGTTGTGGAAACACGGCTAGAAGTCCCCAACAGACCTGAAAGCAATGATGCGGCTACAAATCATCCTGCAAAATAATGAACATAAGAGATTTTTTGGGGGGGATTTATAATTTCAAAATACTGCAAATTAGTTCAAAATAAATCCTAAGTGAAAGATTTAATATTTTATGTAAGAAACTTTTTGTCTTCTTCTTTAAGCACCAATAATAATAACACAAAAAGTTATTCTTGGAGGTCTTGTGTGGAATGTTAAGGGGAAATAAATGAGGAAAACACTGAATCTGGAAAACTTTCCACAGGATCACGTATCAATAACAACATTCAGAGATGTCTTAGTGCAAACTTTTTGTGGGCAGAATGGACTCTTGTTGTCTGACCCCTGAAATAGCCAAAGCTAAAGGTTATGAGCACAAACAGTCATTGTTATCCAACATCAGCACATATCTCTGGTATCAATAGCTCCTTGTTGATCCACTTGGCCACGCAGTTTGCCGTCACTCTCGCTCTCTATCCATGGTCCCTGCAACTTGTGAAAGTTATTGGAGTGTAAATGCATTTAACAGCCCCAGCCTGCTGCTCCTCGTGTGGGTAGCGCTTAGTGCATGGAAGTCACCGTGCCTGGGCCAGCAGTTTTAGCTTTTGTCAGAAAACAGAGGCAAAGTGTGTCTTTTAAGGTCTAACAAAACAGCTTAACCTCTCTGGATGATAAATTACAAAATTTGACATTCTAAATTACCACTTGTCCACATCTCTGTTTGTCCTGAGTGTAACTTCGTTGCCCACTGATTGGGTTAGCAATGTGTCTAGGGTGTTCCCTTCCTTCACTAATTAACAGCGGTAGTTTGGTTAAAGCTTTGAAGGTTTAAGAAGATTCAAAATAAATCACTGGTGTCCACATTTGTTTTTCAACATGCAAAGAAAGACTAAGGGTCTTTTCACACCTGATAGTGCGGTAGACTTTGTTCATTTTGGGGGCCAAAACTGCAACATTTGTCACATTTTCAGTTGCTGTGGTTTGTGTTCACACTGCACTGAGTCAAATGACCCAAACATGTCCCTCCTCGCCTGTGGGGGTGCTACAACAAGGACCACTGAAGGAAATGACAAAAAAACTTTAGAAAAAGACAGGAGTGCAACTTCCTTCTTCAGGAAATGGAAACAAAAATGGAGTGGTGTCAGATTTTAGCAGTTGGAGGATTTCTCTGTTGCTCACGATAGACTCTTGGTTTTGGTTGCATTTACCCAGAATGCCCTGCGCTGTAGTCAACTTCCTGTTTTTTGGGGCAGTCTTCAGTTCACTTAGTGTTCACATACGCATTCAAACCGCACCAGAGTTCACTTCCACCGAACCGAGACCAAGATCTGTAGGCTCATGTTTGATCCGCATCAGAGTTCGATTACACATTCGCACCTCAACAAACAAATGAACAGAACTTTCTAGACAAACAGAGAAGAGGTCAATAAAAGTGGACTAACCACCTGAAGGATCAGACTCGGATTGCATGTCAAAGCCCAAACTCTTTGGGGTCACACAGAAAGGCAGACGCTCCCGTTTACACATGGCTCCAGGGGCTTGTGGCTCCCGATTAGCAAACCAGCGTGAGTCAACATCTGGAACATCCCTTGGACAAACTATCTCTCTAAACCCACACTCCGTCTGCTGTCAAACTGTGTCCCTCCGTCCAGTTCCCAAGAAGGTCGTCCACCCCCTCGCCGGCAGTGCACGCTCACACAGGGGCGAGGCATTTCCCAAAGCCTCCCCAGTCCTTCTGGCATCTTGGCAGGTCGTCCCCTCTTACCCTTCTGCATGTTCCACAAACACGCCATGGGGCCTGAGGGCACCAGAGGACCAACCTGCCATTTGTCGACATGCTTGATTATTGGGAGGGTGGCTGGATCCATTCTGTCTTTGCTCATTCTGTACATGCAACTTGTGGAGGTTGTTGGACCAGACTCCGTTTGTAAACACTCAATTTTTTAAAACTCGGTTTAACAAGCAGTCAAGTGTAAGCAGCATTAGAAGCAGAAGCGGGAGCAAAACGCAGAAATCTCCATTTTTAGAACAAAGTAAGCCGCAGAAACTGAGGAAGAACCCAGAAAAAAGGAATCCACACTTTTTTCTCAGAAATCTGCGTTTAATCTTCTGAGATCAAAAGAAAGTCAGAATTCTGAGAAAAAAGTAATAATTTTAAGAGTAATGTCAGTATTTAAAATTCTGACAAGAAAGTCAGAATTCTGAAAAAAAATCTGAATTCTGAAAATAAAGCAAGAATTCTGTGATACAACTCAGAATTTTGAAAAAATAAATCTGAATTCTGACTATAATCTGAGAAGATTGTCACCATTTTTAAAATCTGTGTGGGGGAACAGACTTCTTCCATGCAGAAAGAACAGAATGAGTCTGAACAGCATCTCATTTAAAGCAGTTTGTGCACCATTTTGTTGTTGTTGTTTTAAGTAAATAAAGTAATTACTTTTGGTAAAAAGGTAATGGGTAAGGTAATTGGAGTACTTTGCTGGGGAAGTAATCAGTAATTAGTAACTAATTACTGTTTCCAACTGAATTCTGTCGCAGACTGGCGAGAATGGCCGACGTTCCCTGGGTTTTTTGTTTTTCTTGCGCAGTGCCAGTCTGAGAGAGGATCTTGGCCATAGACTCAACAGAACACACATGCCGAGGAGAGCGTCTAGCAAGGGAACATCTGTTGTGGTCGGTGGCTGCGGGCAAACTGTTTCATTTCGACAAGATGGCCTGTGGCAACACAATGGCTTAGCGGTTGGGAGAATGAACATAATGCCAGTCACTTGTGGTTTGGGTTTACCTAAGTTGGACAAAGCATCTGAAAGACATGTGGTCACATTTTACATCAAATTACTTTTTAGTTAGCGATAAAAAAGAACGTCCTGACACAGTTGTGTTTTAAAATTGATTCTTTCAAGTGGAACCGAGGAGTTTGATGTAACCAAATTGTTTTCGTCTGAAGTCTTTATTCCATTTATGTTACTTTTCCATCCCAGTTTGGAGCGTAAAGCGGGGAGGGGGGGAGGGGGGGGCAGCAATGCCTTCACTGATGAGGGAGCAGATTAGGATGACAGATTAGATCTTTAGGAGATGTGAGTAGTGAAAACACATGACTTAACTGTCCAAATAAACCGATATAATGTGTCTCGCTGTCACATCTTCAACTTGCCGCTCCTCCGTCTAAAGCAGAGGTGTCCAAAGTGCGGCACGGGGGCCGTTATGTGGCCCTCCGACCCCAATTCTGGAACTAGTCAAATATGGCTTATCAACACAGGTACACGTTAGGACAGATTGTTGGCACAAAATAATTCTTAAAATTTTTTTTATTTTACTCAGTTCAGCCTATTCTTAGCTCAGTTTCAGAATGAGCTGTTTTAGGCTTTAAATCCAAATAAGTTGCTGCTGGCCACGACCCCCAAACTCAACATTTACACATGTCAAAATGGCTGCAAACACAATTATACAACTGTACATCTTTGAAAAGCAGAAGTAGAGCCTCCTGCACAACCAGCAAGAATGCAGAAA